CAGCACGTGAAATAATTTTTTTATATACCATACTGTTAATTAAGTTATGAGAGTGTCAACGCAGCGTTCGATCTGGCAAGACTGAAAGTGCCGGGCTTGGAGGGCAGACAGGGGAACATGTGATCCGCATTCAGTACAAGTTTGAACTCGAGTAATTTTGGTTGTGTCAGTAGCGATTTTTTTGTGAAAAATTTTTTCTATTGTGTTCTCAAAACAGGCCTAGGGAGATGTTTTGACGAGATCCCAGGTTTTTTGTTGGTTTAAGCCATTTCCAGAAGGCAGAGAGTCGATTGAAGATGAACCATGAAGCTGAAGGCCTTCATCTTCAAGAACCCATGAAAATATCGACAGAATCAGGGATCTTGTGCGTTCAGATCTTCGGCTGACAGTCAATGATCGGGGAATTGTTCAATTTGTTTCACACCACCGATCATCGGATAATGCTCCTTGTCACAAGCAATGTGAATAAACGAGTTTTTGGCCAGTAAAAACATTCCTGTGGCCCCCAATCTCCTTATTTGCCTGACTTGAGTCCTTGTCTCTTCTCGAAGTTAAAAAATCACCTCAAGGAACTGATTTTGATACAGTCGAAAATAATTAAACGACTGTAACCGACGAGCTGAAGGCTATTCCATTATCGGAATTCCAGCCCTGCTGTTAACAGTGGAAGAACCTTCTCCAGCGCTGCGTGACAATATAAAATTGTAATTATATTCGAATTAAAAAATCAGAAAAGCCAGTCTCATCACTTAATTTCCAGACCTCGTATTCCTCCTTCTACGGGTAAGAAGTCTAGCAAGCAGCGTTCAAAAAACTGATATAAGCAAAACCTCAATTCCGCTATCTTGGGGTGATAACTCGGCGTAAATTTGTTTTTGCACAACGATGTATTAAAATACACCCCCACAAAATCCAACCTGGTTTATATCCCCCAATGCCCATTTTACGAGGCAAGCAGCTCGATCCTTGAGTAAATCGGCAAGCCAGAATTGTCGTTCTCGGTCAGCCTCTATCGCAGATGAGTGGGAGGTTCAGCTGAACAGGGTTGGGGTACGGTTGAGGGTAGGGGAGGAAGGTATTCCTAGAAAAATGTAAATAGGAAAGCGCTCTCACCCCGCTCGGCCGACAGAGATGCGACTATTTGTGTATGCGATTACGCCACGGAGAGTTTTCGCCAATTTAAACCTGCAATGTTGCCAGTGTTTACATATCGTGAGTCCGTATATAAAAAAATGTAGCCGTGATTTATTCTTCTCTCCACACTAAGTTGAAACGTATAAAAGTTAAATTTGTCATTGGGCCTTAGCATCAGATTATCTATGCCACGGAATAAGAACAAAATATGGATAAATATCGCTTCAAAAAGAGTACTCTCACAAAAGCGCCGAATTATTAAAAAATGCAATAGATATCTTAGAATGGCTCAAAAAATAGTTTTTCTTTCACTTCTTACGCCACTGGTGAGGAAGTATTGTAGTAAGGATATGTTCTTTGGACATCTACACCACGAAAAACCATGTAACTCATTTCCGTTGATCTTATCTGCAATTCGGTCTGTCTGTCCCTTAATCCTTGGCCCATCTAGGTATAGCTTGGAAAGTATTACTACTGTACCAAGGTGGAAAAAGTTTTGCAGTCTTTAAAAATCAATCCCCTGCTGCGGAGTTAGAGGCAAAAAGCAAAAAATAAAACGTCATTTTTGGATGTTTCAGGATTGGAGGTTGGGAGTTGTAGGGTGGGCTTTTGGAATTATAGGGAGTGGAGGTTGTGAATGTTGAATCTTTGGTATCAGTGAAACACGTTCTATTGCTAATAAGTTTCTGACCCGCACGGGTATCATGTAAAAACCTACAAAACGTCAAAAAGAACCTATAAGATGTCAACTTGCAGACTAGGTAGTTTTTAGGGCGCAAACAGTCATTCCACGTTTGTCACTAGAATCGTTGTGAACGTCCATCTATGGAGGAAACACTCAACTAAACAACCCATTATTGGTTGCATAGTTTTGTGAGGCTGAGTGATCCGTGTCTGTAGTTTTTATCTCTGAGAAGAAAGTTGGTTGAATAGCAAGATCGTATCTGGGTGATTATGTGTATTGGTCTGTATGTGTATAAAATCAGTGAGAGAAAATCATTACTGAATATGCCGAATATGACGGGTTATTTATATATTGTGCTGTCTGAAGAGAGGTTATGTTCAAAGTTATAAATTACGAAAAACTGAGGAGAATTACGGGAAATCATCACCGCGCCCGCGTTGCGTGTAATTACTGTTAATATGTATATAGCTTGTAATTCGACAGTGTACAGTGAATATAATTATTTCTTATCTCTCTCATTTTTGAAATTCAGCAAATTTGTATATGTAATTTCCAGAATGGATAAGAAAAAGTGGATGCGCAACTAATTTCTAGCTTTGAATCTCAATTAAGTGTATTTGAGACAAGAACCCAATGTAATTATCATCAACACATACAACTTACAGCTTAGACCTCCAGTAATGCCATCTCAGAAGCAGATTTAAACATCACATCAGAGCCAAAGATGGATAACAAGCCTCATGACGTTTAGGCAACACGTACAACTAAGTGCTAAGTTAACATCTTGTAGCATAACCTACATTGTCAAAAAAAATCGGCATAATGTTACTTTACAAGATACGTGATACCCGTGCCGAGTAATAATGGAAAATTTAAATAACAAAAATTAAATTGATAAAGTGCTCAGAATTCAAAATAATTTCTGCAATCGGAATATCCACGATGCTTTGACGAGCTTTTGTGGCACCACATCATAATGCGTCTCAAATTAATGGTTACAAGGAGAGCGACAGACGGAGACAGATTGACATCCGACGGTAATGAGTGACATGGATTTTGCTGAAATATTTAACCAACAAAAAAATTCTCTATTGAAGTTTGAAGTTTGCGTGTGCAATACTTTGATCGTTTATGGTGTAGTGGCGAGTCGCCTGGATGTTACTTAGCCGAGAGTGGGTTTCCTAACCTTTAGCCCCTTTACAACTTGCAAAGTACCTCTTCGATGATAGAGTCCGCTAGAGTCCGTGCGATATCACCTCTTTCCAGTGGACTCCCCTATAGGCCCTCGATACCGCCGAGCATATATTCAAGCCTTAGGCATGCTTGGTGGATCAAGTATAAAAAAGCAAATCTCTTATTATTAAGAAGGTGCTGATTACGGTAATACTGCGTAGCTGCAGGCCATAATAATAACACATAAATATGATAGATTCATTTTATACAGTTCAATATATAGAGATTTACGATATATACGCGGGGCTACCAAAAAAAACGGAATTATTTTTTAAAAGCTACTTCTTTTCAAGTTTTTCACAAGGTAACCTTATCTGCTTCAAAATACTGTCCACTACACCTAATACACTTGTCCCACGGTGCTTCCACTGCTCGAAACATTTTTTGAAGTCTTCCTTAGAAATGTCTGACAGCTCCTCCCTCGTTTTTCTTCTTAACCTCTTCAATGTCGTCAAAGTGGCGTCCTTCCATGCCCCTTATCATCCGAGGAAATAAGAAAAGTCGCACGGAGCTAGGTCAGGCGAATAAGGTGCGTGAGCCAACGGAACAATGCCATTTTTAGCTAGAAACTATCGGCTGTGTGCGCAGGTGCATTATCGTGGTGGAAGAACCAGTTTCCTGACTGCCACAAATCGGGTCTTTTTTGCCGAACACTGTTTCGCAATCGTCTTAAAACCTCCAAATAAAAGGTCTTATTGACTGGTGGAACAAACTTGGAATGGACTTCGCCTTTGACATCAAAAAAGAAATCAGCACTGCTTTGATGTTTGATTTGACTTGACGACATTTTTTTGGACGGGGTGACGATGGCGTCTTCCATTGACCTGACTGTTGCTTCATTTTTGGGTCATAACCGTAGCACCAAGTCTCATCACCAGTGATGATCTTTGACAAAAAATTTGGATCAGATTCAAGCTGTTGTTTCAAAGCACGACATGTTTCAACTCGGTGTTCTTTTTGATTGTCAGTCAGAGCCCGAGGAACAAACTTGGCAGCAACCCTTTTCAGCCCCAAACCTTCTGCTAAAATTCGCTGAACCGAACTTCAGGACAACCCACTACTTACGGATAGTTGATCGATTGTCAGTTGACGGTCTGCAAACACGATCTCTCGAATTTTTTCAACATTTTCGTAGACTCGGCTAGTTGATGGACGTCCAGAGCGAGGTTTGTCATCAATCGACATGTCGCCATTTTTAAACCGAGCAAACCACTCGTATACCTGAGTTTTTCCCATAGCATCATCTTTGTAAGCTATTTTCAACATTAAAACAGTTTCAGCAGCATTTTTACCAATTAGAAAGAAAAATTTCACAGCTGCACGTTGCTCACTGAAAACGTAGCAAGCACGAAACAGCTCGAGCAAAAATAATGACTACAGAGGAACGAAACAAGCCCGATCGACGACTCAGGTGGCACTGAACTGGTAATGAGTCGCGATGTACGCCTCTAGGGGCAGAAATGTGTACTACACAAGCTCCGCCTACTGCAACGCTTTTCCGGTTAGTTTTGGGTACACCTCCTCGTATATCGGGCTTGACCGACCAAACCTGGCTCCACAACATTAAAGAATATACGCAACCACTACTATCAACTATACACCTCGGTTAGTTAATACAGTATGATATCGGTGCGTGCCAGATTTCTGCATAAGCTGTTTATATGATTCGTCCATTTGCAATTATCTGAAAGGCATAAACCTAAAAACTTTGTGGATTGAAATCGCTTTATGGAACCATTCTGAACCCTGATCAGGATACTGTTATCATAATTGCTATTGTAGGAAAATTGGAGCAACAGGGGAATATGTGTCGTCTGAAGAGTTTTTCCGGAGCTTGGCAACACCGTAATCCGTCCCGACGGCCGGACGTTAAACCTATCCAACAGCGCGACAACTCGCCGTGGAAAATGTGATCGATCCGAGTTTCCAGCAGGAGAGCCGAGAGCCCGACAGTGTAGGTGGCTGCGCACTCACAGCCACCTTCCACTTTGCAGTCGATCCGCTTCGACGGGCCCAACCACTTGGTGCTACGTTACTCACACACACATTTTCACTTAAAAACAGCACTTTACACATTCAAACATTTAATTCCTAATATATACTAACTACTCTGCGTTTACGCGTCGTCGTTTAGTTTACGTAAAAAATTGTTCGTAGTTTCTAAGTCGCGAGACGTCACCCTGCTGCTCTGAAAACATGGGTACTTCAACATATACAAAAACATGGTAAATAATGGGCACACATAGAAAATATGAATGTTTAATTTGCTGAAAATGTAGTCTTGCTTTTAGTGTCGCATGAATTTCTGAACGCAAACACGTCGCTATTATGATTTGTGCTTTCCTAAGCGCGGATTCACTGTAATAAGTTTCAATCAAAATAAAAATATCGAACATTAATTGTGCTAACAAAATCCAATCCAACCCTATCCAATAGCAGCATTACTAATTACTTGAAATCTATTGAAAGTCACCAAAGACTGGCCAGATATGTGGAAGCTGTTATATTTTGAAGCTTTTTCTTCACGTAATCTCGTGAAGCTTTGTAAAATCAGCTAAATGGGGGTTAGAAAGTAGCCGAGATATTCCACTCCAAGGTGTTTTTAGCGTCAAGTACATTTTAGAAGCTGTGTTGTTGCGAGGGTTTCTCCAATTTTGTTTCATGAAGTCTCGTAAATTCAGCTGGATTGCTATTGTACTTATAAATTGCGTTTCCGATAGAGAAGCATGAAAATAGTTAAATGCATCTGCACCTTGGTCAATGCCAATAAGTACCTGCATTCACTGCGGTACTACAGTTTAGTCGCCTTTCTGGAAATCTAAAACAAGCCTTAATCCCTTAACGTGTCCTTACATACATATTTTTTCATAAAATTATCGCTTTGCAGATAAAATTCCTAATACTAAATTATTCGTGTTTTCGCTTCTTTGTTCAATTTATGCAAATTTGCAATCATTTCCAATACTTCATCGTCAGTCAAAAAACAACTTTTGAAATAATAAACACGAAAATGTAGTGTATAAATAGAATGACATAGTGATAGATCTAGTTTTGCTTATCACATGAATCACACATACATGAACGATTTGAAAACACTAAATGTACACTCGAGCGAGGTTTTTAAACGTTAGGTGTACAGTGAAGATTGCTATTAATTTAATGAAACGTTCCTTCAGCTTCTTCAAAAACTTCAGCTCGGGTGGGACCCATAGGGGGATCGAGGTTAGAGGATTGGGAAAGACCAAAAAAAATCATGGTGCTAAAAAACTACAAGTTGTTCTTTTCGTGTTTTCGTTCTATATTTTCAACTTGTAGAGTGACTGAGAAGATACTATAGTGCATTGAACCTTGCTCACACCTTAGAGAGCTTGAACACAGTATGAGCGTGCTTTTCCGAAGGAAAGTGCGTGAAATTTTACTCTTGTAGCGGGTAAAATCGTGTGTTTTTTAGTATTTTTAAGTCGTCATGATTAAATAAATATTAAAGGGAAGTCAATGTAACAATAAATATATATGTATCTTATCGCTGAAGATTTATTATTCTGTTTTAAGTGGCATATAGTGGTAACGCTTCTTTCCAAATATCTTCTGAACCATCACAAAATAAGTACGATACTCAATAACTATCAAATCTTTTAAACCAGTTAGAGCGCGGGTACCTACCCCCTCCAACCACCACCTTCACCCCCCACCCCACCCCTAATATATGCCACTGAACAGGTATTTACCGAGTTGACAAAACCTCGCACGTAATAATAATGTCTGGGAATATACAGTGTGTCCTGGAAATTCCTTTTCAGAAATACCTCTGCATGAAATAATAGATCTAATGTGTGGTGAAATAGCAGCGGAGAAGTAAATTTAATAATTGAAAAATTACTCTCTATTCATCGAAAAGAAATTTCAAGTACTGTTCATAATTGTCTTCGGTAGATTCAAAAGCACCTGTATGGGCTTGACGTAGCCAAGCATCCGTGTAGGCTTTTAGGATGGGCTGCCTTTCTCGAGTAAATGCAACAAATTGCTAAACTCACGCGCGTTAGTCCACCGCGTTCATCTCGGTTTTGTATAATAAACATTTCATTTCACTCCAATGAATGAGATCTTGAAAACTGTTACGCATGGGCTCGCGAAGCCTCGGTAGCATTTCGAAGACATTCACCGTAAATTGAAATAATATCGACAACTCCTATTGCTGTATGGGTGTGCCACTTTTTTAACCAATTTGCAAACGTTTTGTTTACTAAGTGCCTGACGCGTGGGTTGGGTACTGACTCACATAGTGCGTTTTTACGTTTGGCCTGATTGAGATGCAGGACCGGATTAGATTTTCTTTAGGTTTGGACGATTTTACGAAGCCTAATATCTCTGTTATCTTAAGACTGGTATATACTATACTAGAAAAAGCCGCTATTTTTCCAAAATCTATACGCCGTGTAACGGAAAGTCCCAACTTTGAGGATATTAAAAATGTATATTTTCTAGAATGGAAAGATGTGTTATTTTTATCTAGAGATTAATCCATCGCTGTTTCCGCGTTTTTACTTCTCGATCAAAGGCAAATTTGTTTATAACCGTTTTTCAAGATTTGTTTCACTTTGTGGCATAACCATTTTTTTTTAAAATGAACCTCACAGATTTATCCCGCATCAACTATTCAATATTAAATTACTTCTATAGCGTTTAAATTGCGAAACTACTAGCATATCAAATAATTACCAATTGTTTGCCAAATTGATCTTCATCCTCATCCCATCGATTAAAGATGACGAAAGTATATTTTTATAATGAAGACGCGTAGGCAAAAGCCGAAATACCAAGGTAGTATGACCGATACAAGGAACTTAAAGACACCTTGTTAATCCGTTGTTTGAACCGCTTAAGGTTAGCAGAGCTAGGAAAAGCCTCGTCACGCAGATTGTTCGACAGTTGGTATAGCGGTAGAAAAGAACCAGATCGCCGACCGCCCGTCAGTCTCGAAACCGTCAGTTAGAGAAGCGTCATCGATCAGTAGGATGGAACTTTCCTGAACAGTATCGAGTATGGATAGTGTAGTCGGGACGGCAGAATCCCTAACATGCAAGCAGTACTCAAGGCTTGCTCATAGCGAGGAGGTTGTGTGGAGAAAAGTATTTCTTAGTCCTAAACAAATAATCCAATATCCATCGAAACCATGTACGCGAAGGCACTTCTTGTTCCTGTTGTGGCAGCTTTTTTAACAGATTGTTGCGGCCCCAAGACCAGTTATATGCCTGTGTGCAAGATGTCATCAGCAAATCAGTGAATCGGAATAATGGTCGTTGAACGTCACAGAAACAGTGTTGGAGCCAAAGCAGATCCCTGGGGAACACCCGCGTTGACAGGGAAATATATTGTCAGGATCTCAATGAGAATGTTTTTGCTTCAAAGGTTAGGTTGAAAAACGCTACTCTTAGCTACACTTCGTCATTTTTGTACTTTGTATGAAAGAAAGCTCATTTATTATTATTATAAATGTTTTATGCTGACATGTATGATTCATTCATGGTTCCTCAACAAGTAGCATCATTTACAATTTCATAACAGTTTTAACGCTTATAATACTGGGACTAGTGGGAATCTTTAAACCCTGGTCTTAGCTTTTATGAACTGAGGAGCCAAGGATCACAAAGAAAGAAAGCTGAATGTTTCCCTTTAGAAGATTTTGTTGTATTGTGGTTCATGCTATACGTATCGTCTTATTAACCAGCAAGTTGAACTATCTTTTTTAAAGCTCATTATTATTATTATCAAATATCGCATTAACCGAGTCATCATTTGTTACAGAGCAATGGAGGTGATCCGGTACCGGTTCCTACAGGACCCCAAACATCGACGTAGAAGTCGAGTAGGTGACTAGTGAAAAGGATGCCCAAGGGCCCCAATATGGGCACCGACAGCAATGGCACAGGCAGCAGTGGCGACAACAGGATCAAACACAATCCCGATGCGGATAACCTCAAATCTCTATTGAAGAAGTCGTCCAGGTAAGTCTACTTTTTTATTACTAAGGTATGACGGTGATAATTCAGAACAAAACAGCTGACTGCTCAAATATAATCCACGATTTGAAGGATGCAAAATTAGCATGATGGTAGTTTTGGCATTAACATTAAAATTTAGCCCACCAAATATGTTCCCACCGCCTTCTGAAAAGGTCCAGAGACTTTATTTTGGACATATTTTACAGAGGTAAATGTCAACGCATAGAATAAAAATATTACTGACTAACGACCTGAATCGCTGGATGTGCGATGACAGCGTCACCTAGCGGATGTCAGACAAGTATTTGTTCTTGCAACATGCAATACGTATAAAGCAAACAGATATCGATTCAGTCGAGTTAAAGTTGATCATTATTTGAATTTCAAATTGACAGCTCTCCTTTGATATGGCAAATGATGACAGCACAGGCATCAGATGACTCAGATTTCTTCATAAAGACCACGACTATATGTGTATTCCACTGTCAGGCCGACAATATTTCCCTGTTTGTCCACCGCGCGCGCCTCGATCGATTTATTCCCATCACTATGCACTTCGGTCTTGACGAATATGGGTAGTAGGAGTCCATAAGTATAATATGTAATTCACAGTAGATTTTACAACCGAAAATTGCATAACAGTTGGATGTTGCGACAATAGTTCTGGGTGGGTTTTTCGCGTTAACGGAGTGCGTTTAACCTTTTCGGGGACGATGGGCGAGGGTGATAACTTCATGCTCGCTTTGGGGAACTCGATGTGCTTTGGGAACGGGAATGCACACCAAGCGATCGTGGGCTTTTCTGGTATTACGTGGTGTTATTACGAAATTATAGTGATCTCGGCATGCTACAGGACCATTCAATATATTGTCGCAAGACACTGTATAGGCATGAAGAAAAATAACTAAATGAACTGTTACCTGGAAGACAAGTAAACAGAAAATATTGTTACTTGTCATTATACTTGAAAAAGGCCACCCTGGTGGCCGAAATGTCATACAATAAATAGAAATAGAAATTAAAACAATCTTGTGGTTTGATTCAGTCAAACAATGGAGTCTTATGCGTTTTAGGAAAACCTAGGATTTGCGTGCTCACATACACTGACCAACAGATTAAGTAAATGGATAATCTAGATTGAAATTAAAGACCATAGTTTTTCTTCTAAGCTGAATACACCAATCACCTTTTACAAGAGCCAATATTAATCCCACTTACGCAAAATAGAAAATTTTCGACGAGTTGTGAGAGTAAATTTAGAAAATTAAATCGAATCTTCAAATCTGATAATGTACAAATGTAGTATCGTTTCAGACGCATGAATAGGTCAGTTAGTCAGTTTTTCTAGTTAGCACGATTTTTTAATATTTTTATCACGTAAATTTTCGAAAATGTCACTTATTTCCCTTTGTCTGTTTGTTGATTTGCATGTCGGTCTAGCCGCTTATCTTACAACCGCCCATAAGTTGAGGAGTACCGCGATTTTGATGAAATTGTTACTGCTGTCCATACGACGAACAAGTTTTCTAGTTTTTGGAAATCGGTCCAGTGGCGGCGGAGAAAAGGCCAAAAAAGAAAAAAAAATAAAAATCGTGTAAACTGCGTTCTTTGACATCTCAAATGATCATTTTTGATTTTTTATTTTGGGTGAAAAGTTGGGTGATTGTTAGTTGTAGACGGGTGAGGAAGGTTGTATTGCAATTTTTTGACGTTAGTATATTAATACACTCCCAGCCACCGTAATTTTATTCACCAATTAGACATATTTCACACATCATAGATTTCTCCATACATTGGCCCTAAAAATAGCTGACGGATCGCGTACGTACCGTCCACGTTTGCTTCTGCTCCCGGCGCCTTGTTAAGTGTTCTGGAATTACACGTAATGTATGACTGCCGCGCCACAGCATGGTGTTTCCTATTCTGTGGTCAAGCCGGATTATATATCGGGTAGAAGAGACTTTGCCAGGTGGACTACCGGTAGGGCCGAGAAAGATTGTTTATAGGCTAATTTTATGGACCTGTTTCAATGACTTTTTTTATTCTTAGAGGGACTAGTTTGTGCTCAACATAATCCTTTATGAACTAGTAACCTTGCTTGGGAAGTGCAGAGTCAAACAACGGCGCCAATTTTCACATTTACTCGTAATTTCAACGGTGTAGGCAAACTATGGAAAATTGTTGTATTCAAAACAAAACAGACAGTCCATTATTTTCAGTGCTTATTCAGGTCAAATCAATCGCTAATAGGTGAACTCATTTAACCCTTAGGTACTTCTCATGGGTATGGACAATCTTGAAAAAAAATATTATCAAACAATACCAATTTGCAACACTTGCTCAATTATTGTATGTCCAAACTGTTCAGAAAATAATTGAAGTTATGTCATTCTATTGCATAACATGTTCTTTTTCTTAAATGGTGTGTTTTATTTCAAGGTTCTTGGGTTCTTGTTCAGAAAATACATATTGGTTTATAGGAGGATTAGATTTACCCTTGAGTAGTATCCGTGAATAACTTATTTTGAGTAATGGTCAAGGGTTAAACATTTCTGTGATTTCAATAAAATTGTCCTCTGCACACTGCGTCGTGTAGCGACACTGAGGGATAGTGTTAACCTCATTTGTCACTACATCCTCCTGACTATATTGTATTGAGCCTATTCCTCTATAATTCATTCATAGGAGCACGTGCCAGAGAAGATTATGATCATGGTAACTTTTTATAGCACTCCATGTTTACACACGTTTCGTTATAAAAAAGAATCATAAATATCTTACCGTTCGCCCGTTGTTTGGTATCCTGAAAATAAACAAAGATCAACTTTAGCTACGAAAAAAAAGACAAATATTTATATAGCTTTGCAAAAGGGAGTTTTGGTACGTTTCAACTGTACTGGAAAAAAATCTGAATCTAATTTAATCTCTTGTTTGTTTGGACAATAGGTGGGAGAAACTGTCGAAGGACGGTGAGCTAAAACGGTCATTTTTCTGCTGGTCCATTCATAAATAGGAACACACTCAGACTTACCTATCCCTACACGTATTTGATAGTTATTTAAATTGGTGTAAGTTCTGTTTTTTCTTTCACTAGACTATTTTATCCAGACCACCACCAGAGGAAAAGGCATGTCAAAAATCGGGTACGTTGTGTTTGGTAGGATTTTCATCACTGCAACTGTGTTTCCTCAAGAGATCATCAAGAATATTTTGGTATCATTTCATATAATATGTATACTAAGTGACATATAAATCCGAACACCCAGTTTAAATGGTTTTATTTTAATAAAAGTTGGTGAATGTATTTATCTTACTGTAAATAACAAGTGAAAACATTTTCAGCCTTATCAGTTGGAGATTCCGGTTTTTATACTGCTTTTTTTTTTAATTCACTAACGCTCTAAAAATGAATATTTCAGCCGCAGTAAAGAATCAACGTTGGCGGATTTTGGTTCTTGACATCCTTTACGATCGGTTACGATGCCTAGAGTACGGAGACCTGTACGATTTCGTCAATTTAGTGAGTTTGATAGGGGTCGTATAGTGGGACTTCGGGAAGCTGGACTTTCTTTTCGGGCAATTGCAGTTAGAGTGCAAAGAAGTGTAGACACTGTGGTTAGGTGTTGTCAGGCATGGCTTCGAGAAGGCCGTACGCAAAGAGCAAGGGGCACTGGACGCCGCCGTACAACAACAGACCGTGAAGATCGCCGCCTAAGATTATTGGCCTTACCACTCCACTACCAGGTCCATTGCAAATGAATGGTTTGCAGAACCCGGAAGACCTACTGGCAAGCGAAGTGTTTACCGACGAATGAGAAGTTTTGGCTTGTTTTCATACCGGCCACACTGGGTCCTCCCTTTAACTCGAGAACACCGACGTAACCGCCTTGAGTGGTGCAGACAACGGTCACTCTGGGATCAGGAATGGAACAGTATTGTCTTTAGTGACGAGTCTCGATTTTGTTTAGGCATGCACGATGGTCGTGCCAGGGTTAGAAGGCGACGTGGTGAAAGGAGGAATCCACAGTTTTTTGTTGAAAGACATGTTCATCACACTGTTGGAGTTATGGTTTGGGGTGCTATAGCTTATGGTTGCAGGTCACCTTTAATCTTCATCAGAGGTAACATGAACGCGCAGCGTTATGTCCACGAAGTTCTAGAACCCCATCTTTTACCCTATCTTGACACCCTGGCAGATCCAACTTTCCAACAAGATAATGCCCGACCACATGTTGCAAGAGTCACGATAGACTTCTTTCAACATAATGATGTCACATTGTTACCATGGCCACCAAGATCTCCCGACTTATCCCCAATTGAGCACGTGTGGGATATGATGGGTAGGAGATTGCTCAATTTGCAACGTCCTCCTCAGACTCTAGAAGCACTTCGAGAGGAGTTGGTGGTTGCCTGGAATGAGATACCACAGGAGGACATTGACCACCTGATCAGAAGTATGCCTAGGCGCGTTGGAGAATGCGTAGCACATCAGGGTGCATCCACACATTATTAAAGGTCAAAGGGCTTTAAAGCAGTGCAATAATTTTGAAATTTTTATCATTTACTTATTATGCTTCATTAAGTACTTATACAAAATTTTATTAAAATAAAACCATTTAAACTGGGTGCTCGGATTTATATGTCACTTAGTATAATTAATTTGATAAACCTCATAATTTGTAAATCATCAAACTTCTGGTAGGATCTTAAAAATATGGCCGAACCAGAGAAATTGCCTTCCTCTAAACATTTTGGTAGCTCATCCTTTCCAAGACATGCTCTGTCGGAGCTGTTTTTGCTTTCCAAAGAACTTCTGGAGCACATTCGTATGCTTGTACTAGCCCTCCTGGAAAAAATTCCTGCCGGTGGCCATGGTAACTGATAGAATGTCAAATTGAAGGGGTTGAAGGGATCCACGATCGCTGTCACATATCTATATATATGACATATACATATGTGTCCAGACTGTACTGTACTACCTCTTAGAGAAGTGGCAAAGGATTAGTGTTATAAATATGTGGCCGCCTCTTATTCGTTAGCAAGTAAGCTAATTACTTGAAAAATATCGTCGATGAAATACTCTGACGTCCTGAAAACTGTCCATCAAAAGAGACATCCCAAGTATTAAACGCATGTCTTTTATCGTCTACATAATATACTCAGTGACAATAACGATCAATCCAATATTACGACTATTCCGTCAGGAGTTCCGCAAGGCTCAATTTTGGGACCTGTGCTCTTTTTGATTTACACGTGTGACCTGCATAAAGCAGTTGACAATTCAGGGATACAAACATTTGCTGACGATACTCAAATAATATTCCATTTCGACGCCTCAGATACGCAAAATTCATCAGACATTTTACAGCTTGATTTAGATAAGGTACATCAGTTTTCTATGGAACATAATCTTACTATTAATCCAGATAAGACACAAGTGTTATTGTTTTGTTCTGATCAGAAGAGGAAAACTGTCGAAGATTCTTTCCATCTGACTATTGATGGCATAACATTACAGCATACTCAAACAGCTAAGGTACTAGGAGTGGAAATTGACACAAAATTAAGATTCCGCAGCCAAATAGCTAATTTGATGAAAAAAACTTACCTGTGTTCTAGGGCTCTTTATTCAAATCGCTACTTTAAGCTAAGAAAAAAACTGTGCGAATCTTTGGTGATGTCAATGCTCAGTTACTGTGATGTCGTTTATTATCCATGTTTGGATCAATTGACCAAAAATCGTGTTCAAATCATCCAAAATAACTGTGTTCGCTTTATTTATGGGTTGCGTAAATACGATCACGTAAGTGATAAATATAGGGAATTGAACTGGCTTAGGTTAGGAAGTTTGGTTAAACATAAATTCTTAGTTTTAGTTCATAAAATAATATTGTCATCAAAGCATGAATATCTAAGAGCTAAGTTAAGATTTAATTACGAAGTGCATGACAGGGCTGTTAGGAAGCGTTATAGTATCAGAATCACCCCACCCACTTCTGCATTATTCCAACGAGGATTTACATATAATGCAGCACTATTTTATAATCAGTTGGACAACAGTATTAAATTGATGTCTTTGGGAAGTTTTCGTAAACATACTAAAAGCATGTTGCTCGCTATTGATTAAATACGCATTTCTGCTACAGATATAGATTGTGTCTATTTGTATTTTATACTTAGGTATATATGTGTTCTTTTTTCATTGTTCTTATATATATTTTTTTTTCCATGTTTTGAACATCAGATGTAACCGACATAAACAGTTAAGTGTAAGAGTAGCTTTGGCTAAACTTCGCTGTTTATGTCCCTCCGGGTTATCCAATAAAGACGTTATTATTATTATTATTATTAGTATTACACTCAGAAAAAAATAATTTCTTCAACTTGTTTTTTTTGGCAACATAATAACTATATTTAAAGCATTATGTGGTAACAATGCCAACGTTTTTGAGAGCTGATTTGGTCACGCAATTCTTCAATATTCTGAACTGCAGTACGGTATACCTCGTTTTTCAAGTATCCCCATAAAAATAAGTCCAGAGAATTTAGATCGGGAGATCGTGTAGGCCATGCAATTGGTCCACCCCTTCCGATCCAGCGTATCTGGTATACCTGATTCAAAGAATCACGAACTTCTAAATGAAAATGCGGAGGTGAACCATCATGCAGAAATCACATCCGTGCTCGGAGAAATCAACTTCTCTCGTAACAGTACATATGTGGTTAAAATTTGTCGGATAAGTTGTGCAACACCCTGTATAATAATATGACTGCTGCGCCTTATGTTGATGATGTCCTACAAACCACTTTACTGCTTTATCTAAAGGCTGTCCATACGTCCTCTTTCAGCAAGACAACGCAATATTGCTCGTCCGACTACGGACTTTCCTCAAGAAGCAGGCGTTAATGTTTTGACCTGACCACCCCGTTCACCGGATTTAAATCCCATCGAACATGTGTGAGATATGATGAGGTGGAGTGTCCACTTTGCACCATCCGCATACAGACTCTGCCACAGCTAATCCACGAAGTTTGTGTTGCTTGGAATGAGGTGCCACAGCCAGACATCGATCATCTCATTTTGTCGATGCCTAGACGTATACAAGAGTGTGTTCAGCTGCGGGGTCGCCCAACACATTAATATTATTTTTTTTGTATAATACTCCTCAATAAATTTTGTTGAGAATGTTATCGCTTCATTCTTGATGTAAGACTACGTCATTGCCAAAAAATCAAATTGAAGAAACTATTTTTTTGGGTGTAACACTTCTAATATCACTGAGTATATTACCCACGTAAATTTACGTAAAAATATTGGTGAGTTAGAGTGCTGGTTATGCGAATTAATTTCGCTTCAAGAGAATCAGTAATTTCACCACGAACGACAAAATCTCAAGTACAATTTGGAATGTAGTTGTTTGTTTAAACAGTCCATCAGAAATTAAATTAGGATTTAAACTGCTGAAGTGTTAAACGGTTTTCCTTAAACAAAGCTTACATCTGTTATGAAGAACTATTGTGTGAATGAACTGAATCTTACTTCCCGACTACTGAAATTATGGAACGTACAGACTTTGAATTTTATTCAATGAAATACAATATATGGCACAAAAAACCATTATACTTGTTTCTGTCGATTTCTCAGTCTGCCTAGTAACTTTTCTCTTTTCCACAACTCAAAAGCTACAACATTCAAAAATATAAAAATATCCACTGTAGATTATACGAGTGTTAGAGTTAGAAATATATTGTGATTGTAGAACTTCTGGTATATTCGAAATTTTGGAGACATTGAGAAGTATGGCATTTTGGAATCATAAGAGATAGAAGTACTTGTTGTCTATTGTGCGGTAGAGTTCTTGATTTCTCTTATGAATCAGAAACACCACGTTGATTTTAAGACTTTGAGTGTAGGTGCCTCATGTCAAAAATAGAAAAGCACTATAGTTTTTAGAATCAGTCCAGCAGCGGCGAAGTAATTACCCTCCGCCCCTTCACAGACTGATTGCAAGATTCCGTTCCAAATTTAATAAGATGTAAATACCTCGACACATCAAGGATACGATGATGTTGGTTCGACTAACATTGTATGGGTCATAATCAAAGACAAGTAAAGAACCACGAATTTTCCGTGCCCTCGTGAAGTGAACTGTGCTTTTGAGAGAATCTTTTTGAAACTCGTGCCAGATCTAACGTATAAACATAGTCTTGTCAAAATCAACACGACACCTCCCTAAACCTTACTGAACATTTTTTTTAATCAAACATTTCTTCCAGTATAACAATTCTTCGAGTATTTGGTCTGAGAACTACAGTCGCCACATTCACTATTTTTGCAAATCGGGTAAACTTCAACTCTCTATTTCGCGGAAACTAATCCTAGGATTGCTTTGGCCCACCAGAACTGTTGTTCGGGTAGGCGATAAATATATCATACTCAACTTTTAGATAAATCGATAAGGACCCATTTTTCATATATTTTGAGTGGGTCCTTTTAATCATGAGCACTAAATAACAATACACAGGGTCGAACTGAATATGTTGGCTTTCGGTCTCTGTAACCGTGAGCAATTGCAGGTAGCGATGTTTCGTGCTCTTTAGCACTTATCAGTACAGTATAGGCCTTGTTTTGGAGACAGGCAAACGGAAAGCAAACCCGTGGGTATGGAGTTTTGAAACACTCAAAATATTGTGCGCAGATAGGTGAGAAATCTAACGATCGCCTCCCGACAGGTCAACCGTTTCAATGATGAGGGGTGCGAACATAGAACAGATGCCGAGCAGTTATAAACCAGAGCACATAAGTGTCTTTCTGTCATCTGTACGTGGTGGTAGATATTAAATATTCTAAAACTTGACAACCACAAATTTTTTGTATCCCAACTTTGGCATAAAGGCCTTTGAACTGAAAACATCCTAAGCTTCCTTCTGAAATCGTGCCTGACAAATAGGTTCTTCTACGTAAAGGATGGTACTGCAGCCACATCCATTAAACCTATCAGTTCAGGAGTCCCACAGGGAAGTGTTTTAGTACCCACTCTCTATCCTCTCTATATCGCAGATCTGCTAAATGCAAATAATATAAATTGAAGACTGGTTAACGAAATGTCGCATGAAGGTTAATGAAACTAAGTCAATACATTCGACGTTCACTTTATGTAGAAAAACATGTCAATGCCGCACAGGCAGAAACCTAAATGCCGGGACACCGCGGCTGCTATGATGATCCCAAAGAAATTTTGTTAATACGATTTTTGAACTACTTAAGGTTAGTAGAACTGGAAAAAGCTTTTAACCAAATCATGTGAAGTATCTAGGAATCCAGTTCGACAGAAGGCTGTAAGCAAATGCATCTTTTTAAAAAAGGACACAAATGGGCATCAAACTCAATGACGACAAGCTGCCACTAAACCGATTTAAAAAAACTACAAGTTTCGGCGCCCTTGGCATAGTAGTGACATTGTGTAAATTTTTTTTCGAAATCCGAGCGGTACTTCTCAAGCTATAGTCGTCAATACATTGAACATTGAAAACATATCTCATTCTTGAAAATTTTCGCGAATACGATACTTCTCCGCCATTAGGTGCGAGAATTAAAAAAAATGATAAAAGACCCTAACAAAATTTTCAGGATAACAAAAACAAATCAATTTATCAATATTTGGTCTAGATAATGACCTCAGAAGTCATTCGGAAGTCAAGTTAGTAAATTTGAACAGGTTCAAATATTTTATCGTACCTTTTCAGTAGGTCATGCTGGTCTATTATGACCGCCTTTATCTCTTGTATAAAAATGCAAGCACGTGGAATCCCGAGTAAGGCACAAATCTGTTATTACCAGTGGTGGATTCACAGTTTTCGGGGTTTTCGGGTACTTAATAGTACAGTATGGGGCGGTGGTAATTTAGCATCAGTAATTTCAAAAACGTTCCTAACCTAATGCTAGAAGATAGAGAGATCGGAGTCAACATGTTATTGACTTTAACTTTCTTGCCTTTCCAGAAAAGACCGCAGCAAACATCAAAACCGCGTGGTGTTCAACGAGACGAAGAACGAATTCTTCGACGCCGACTACATCATCCTGATCAGAGAGGAGTGCTGTTCGGGAGGTGGTGATTACGATGATGATGATGACGACGACGAAGACGGCGGCGTCTGCACGTGCTACCAGCACGAAATGGTGCGGCTACAGACCACGCCGTGCTGCGAGCCGGACTGTGAATGCTACCTGGAGGAGGGGACGGAACAGAGCCAAAGAGACCAGCAGAGGAGTCCAAAGTTCGCGCCGCCCATGGAGTTTGTCGATTCGGTAAGTATTCAATTGTACAGTACTGTATTGGATTGTGGAAAAAGTAGAAAGCATTGCGTCGAATGTATGAGACAGTGTTATCGGACATGAAAGAAGTTATTCTATATTTCAAATACAATTCCTAATAAAATTAAATGAAGGTAAGTAATCAATCAAAATTTCAGATAAAACCAACCGTTGCAAATATGTAATAAATAAATTGTTGGAGCTCTATGATGTCCCATGCATACAGAAACAGGCCTGTGCATACTCAGATGATCCATTTCCCAGACGTGTTCGTGAAAGATAGAGAGATCTAGGGACCAAAGCAGCAAATCGACTAGATCGACTTCAAAATGGCTCAACGCAATTCTAGCTATATGTGGTCGCGCATTATCTTATTGTCAAAGTGGGCTGGTAAGCATCCGTATAAAGGCAAAACATGTAGTTCCCTCACCTCCGGGATGTAACGCACGGCGGGCATGTTGTCTCTGATGAACATCAAACGTAACCTGCTTCTATAAGCAATGCATTTCCATAAAAAATGTAAAATCTCATCTTTCACCCCATCGCCTTCTCATCCTTGCACTACCATCATGCATGCTCAAAACAGATTTTACCCCTACTGAGCGGGACTGAGGCAAATGCTTGTTCCGGAACTTGTTGTATTCAGTATACAACTTCTTCTCGTTCAAGCGATTGGAAGTAATACCTCGGTACCGATAGCCGGGTGGCGGTACAAGTCCTCCAACGGGCCACTTTAGGTCTACTTAACATCATTAACATGCAAAAAAAAGTGGTAGACAAGGACCAGTCGACCGAGGCGGTACCACCCGCTAGCTTTTTTCCAGGGTGTCTTATAATTATCCGCATATTTCCACACCTAAGCTATGCAGTCGGTTATCTTCCTCAACAAAGAAATTAATGTTGATGGATCCTCGAGTACTAAGAATTCCGGACGTAAACTCACTCCACTCTCGGAATGTCCGGGTGGAGGGTAGACTCGTGGGAACAACCGAGATGATAAAATTTATTTCACAAACTTCTGCGGGACAAACAGGAACATTGACGCTGTGCGTCACTACCTGCAATCCAATCGTCCCGATATGCTTTTCTTGTAAGCACCACTTAACCGTCTTAGCCTCCCAAATTACGAGGTGCTTTATGTCCGCATCAGTGTTTCCTGTTCCTGAGACGTTTCTTTGGAATCAGATCCAAAGGACATTCTGGGGCTTAGCCTCAGCTTCAAGACATCCCCCAAGTTTATTTGCTGCCTTTATCGCTCTCCCTTAGACCATAACTAGGATGACCTACTTGAATACCTAGCTGTCAAGATCGACTTCCTGGACAACAATCACCCACTTCAGAGGTAGTTTTCGATGATTTCAATGCCCACACTGAACTTTGGTTGGGTTCAAACAAGACCGATGTAGCAGGTCGTGCAGTTGAAGAGTTCGCTATTACCCAAGGGCTGACCCAGCTGGTGATGTGCCGTACATTTTTCCTGCGTTTCGTTACATGCCTGCAGGATTTCTTTCTGACCATGCATCATGTCCCTTACAGCAGTGCTGTTCTGTCCCCCTGGAAACTCAGACCCCGGTGTTGTAGAGGTTAGGTTTTGGGTCAGAAACCGCTGTGGCAGCAGAAACTGGGCCAGGCCACAAAATTTGGCATTACGGACATGTCGACTGGGTAGGGCTCAGAGACTTCTTGTCCACCTTTTCTTGGAGATATGGTTGTTCCGCTGACGCGGACGCGTCGGGTGTCTGTTTATCGATAACCGAAATTATCCACGTTGGGATGGAGGAAGACATCCCTCATATTTGTGTAGGGAAAGTACCTAAGCCAGAGTCCAACTGCTGGTTCAACAAATTGTGCGACACTACTCGCCAGCAGAAGATCATGGCACACAAATCTTCTTACAAAACCTCATTGTAGAGAACAGGCAAGCCGACGTCAAGTCCAGAAACAAATATAACGAAGCGGTTCGCAATGTCAAAGACCAGCACAGCACAGGGTAATTTTGCAGTGCAATGGCAGTCGGTAGATTGAAAGGAACTGCTCGCAAAGTAGCCTTCCACCACTTACGTGTCAGGATGGAACGATTGTAACTGACTCAAAGTCTAAGGCGGAAGTGCTAGCCAAGGGACGTCCCCCACAACGCCCAAGTACCGTCGATTTAAGGGATTTCCTACACTATGCGGAAAGTAGCATTCAGCCATAAGACCACAAGACTGGTGCCCTTGTCGCTCGACATCAACAAAGCGTCTGGCCAGGTCTTGATTCCTGCCATTGTATTGAAGAGGTGTGCAGCGGAGCTTGCTCCAGTTCTTTCGCGTCTCTTCCAGATATTTTGCGAATCCGGCAACTTCCAAGAAAACTCGAACGTTGCTAATGTCGAACCCATCCCAAAAATAGGATCTAAGACTGATCCTTATAACTACAGGCCTATAGCTCTACTTTCAGTTATCAGTAAGGTGTTGGTAGAAGTGCATAAATCGCGAGCTTCTGGACTACCTCGAACGTCACGGCTTGATCAGCGTCAGGCAGTATGGTTTCCGGCACCAGCGATCTACAGGGGACCTCCCAGCTTACGTCACGCAATTGTGGCACATGTCGTTGCTCTTGTTATCACGAAAGCGTTCGATCACCTGTGGCACGGTGCCCTCTTAAGCAAACTTCCATCCTATGGCCTCCCAGAAAAGCTTTGCAGATGGGTGGCTGACTGTATCTCTGGCCGCAAGATATCCGTCGTAATTGACAGGTTCTCCTCTGCGTCCCACAACGTCAACGCGGGTGTTCCCCAGAGATCGGTCTTGGCTCCGACACTGTTCCCCTTAGATATCAACGACCTTCTTTCCTGTACGATCAACCCAATCCACAGCTTTACTGATGCTAGCACTCTACATGCAGGAATTCAGAGCGACAAGCCAATCTCTGCCGGTGAGCTGGAAAAAAAAGACTTCCTCACGGGCCGTTGGCGATTTAGCTCTCTTTTACCGCTAAACCGAAGAGCTCTGCCACTCAGAGCTCTACTCCATGATGCCGCATCGCGATGTACCTGCCAGACAGACCCGCCTGACTTCGGCTTCCCATCCTAACCGAGTCGAACTCCTTTGTCCCGATTGTGGAACAATCTACAAGAGGAGGCTTTTCCCAGTTCTACTAATGTTAGGCAGTTCAAAAATCGGATTAACAAAATTTCTTTGGGATTCCCATAGCAGCCGCGATGTCCTGGTATTTAGGCTTCTGCCTGCGCGGCTGCTTCGGTATAAAAAAAGAATCTGGATTCATCACTAAGCCAGTCGATCACTTCGGTGCCTAGAAGTGAGAGAACTGAGAACGGTATGAAGTAAGCCCGAAACTGTTGATCCAGCCGATACGGCTGATTCCATGCCTGACAACAAACCACCACCGTATATAGACTTATGTGAGCCCTGATGGCTATTTCTCTAGAGGGTCAACCAGCCTCACACAGTCCCACTATTCGCCCATATCAAACTCCCTAAGCTGTTGAAAATAGTCTCGTTTTCTTACTCTAGGCATAATTTACAACCTAGATGGTCCCCTGTGGATCGCTGGTGCCTAAAACCATACTGCCTGTCGCTAATCAACCCGTGACGTTCGAGGTACTCCAAAAGCTCGCGATTTATGAACCTCTCAACCTCCTTACTTATAACAGAAAGCAGAACTATAGGCCTGTACTTGTAAGGGTCGGTCTTAGAATCTTTTTTTTTTTTTTGGGATAGGTTGGAAATGTCCAGTTTTCTGGGAAAGTGCTGGATTCGCAAGATATCTGGAAGAGACACGAACGAGCTGGAGCAAGCTCCGCTGCACACCTCTTCAATACAATGGCAGGAATCAAGTTCGGACCAGAAGCTTTGTTGATGTCGAGAGACAAGAGCACCCGTCTTACGGTCTTATGCCCGAATGTTACTTCCTTCATAATGTAGGGAACCCTCTGAATCGCCGGCACTCGGGCGTTGGGAGCGACGTGCATGGTGAAGTTTTTGAGTCGGTTACAATCGCTTGATGTTAAAATTTACTATCACAATGCTTCAGGAACGTGAGGGAAAACTACTGCAGGTTTCAAAACAACTTTGTTCGATAATGAAGATACATCGATAAAATTTCGTTCAGGTAGAACAAAAACGGCTCGCATTAATATAATAGCAGTCTATTTTAACGCAGATATTTTCAAACTTTCCGCTGGGTTTGCATCCACTTTGGTGCAGAAACTATGATGATAGATAATTCATAAGTTCTTACATTCAATTTCCGTCCACTAGATTTCAAGTACAGGATGATATCGATTGATTCCAATGAATATTATTCACTCCAACCGAATTCCGTCTTTCGGCATATCAAGTGGGTTCGGGCGCACACTGCCCCCATTGGGGCAACTTAGCAGACCGTTTCGACGTCGGAGGAAATGGATTGGTAATTGGATAGTCAGACGTAGGTACTCCGCATCGCAATCACTGTCTTTGTAGAAAGGTCATTGCAATGATATAAATGGATGGCAACAGATACAATATAGAATTATCAGGGTAATCTTTTACTTCTCGACTAGTCTTGAAAAAAAATGTTTTTGGAATGGGTGGAGTTTGATGTTTTTTAACAGGATCTAAAAGAGTGTTCCTTGGGAATCCACTATTTTTACAACCAGAACTGAAAAAAGCCTGTTAAAAAGTCCTTAATTTCTCGTAAAATCATAACAATAAATACTTACTGTTGACCCTCTTGTACTGTCTATTCTAGACGAATGCTTTATATTATTGGTAAGTCTATAGCTTTAGCGCATATTGCAAATATGTATTTCAGGTCTTATTTTAAAATGAACGACTAGGATGTAACATTTACGAAAATATCATTTTTTCTTTAAGGAACCCTCTGCTTGCTATTTTGTAGAACTTCAAAGTCGCTTTTTTGGTGGTAATATTCTAGAATATAATACTGTTTCATAAGCTGGATTTTTGTTTTTTGCACAAGAGGATGCTCTAAATTATAAGAATATAACATACACTGTATAGTACTAGGAAGAAAGAAAACGTTTAAAAACCAGCCGTATAATAGCTGAAATGACAGTTCCAAATACATACCTTTAAGACTACTCGTATACTTAGCGCATAAAGGCCGAAATTCTCGTTTTTGCGGAGAAAATTTAAGAAATCAGAAATGATCATGTTTTAAGGAAAATAGATGTAAAACTATAAAAAATCGTTGTATTTTGCAAAAACAGGTTCAAAACTAATCGTGTAACAAGCTAAAATAACAGTTTAAAATACATACCGTAAATGATGGTGTTTACTTGGTACACTGTGTAGAGGTATTTGTTGAGATTTTTTAGTGTCTTCTTGAAATTCCTTAACCATTTTTTTTCGCGTATTTTCAATGAGATCAAAGTTTTTGGGTTTATAAGAAATATTTGAAAATATAAATAATTCTCAATAGCATTTTCTAACGTTCATTGCTTGACAGGTAAGATAAATAATATCCATTGTTGTCAAGTTGTACTTCTTTTTGAGAAATACGTAATAAAAAATTGTATAAGTAGTTATCACAATATTTACTGAAAATTGGATGTAGCTTTGAACAGTACGTGTCTAAACAGTGGAAAATGCAGCAGTGGCTCGCGTGACATAAAAATACAAAAATCACCAGCGGTCATTGCATATAAAAATACCCAACTTCGATTCGTCGATTTGGACCACGTCGCCAGGTCCACCCAATATATCATCGTCCAACATTAAGGTTAAATAAATATCAAAGACCATATCATCAAATTAGCAAAAAGCAAAAAACTTGCATGTTCTTCTTTTTTATGCTTTCATTGTTGGATGACTGGCAATAGCTACATTTCAGTAATTTCTCATATATATCGCATTTAATTAGGTATATTTTGTGACATCAGCTTCAATTTAAACTTTAAATAATTCTTCAAGTACATACATACAACCAGTAAACAGATTATAACTATAATATAGGAAAAACAATAACCGACGGGTATATAGCTGACGGTATCGTAGAACACGAGGTAGATTTAGTACAGTAAAACCTGCTGGCCACACCTCCAAATCGCATTTTCATGGCAATCCATGATTTACCAACATCGCAGCTAGATGCAGAAATTATGATAGTGATGGTGATATACTGATGGAAATATTTATCTGAAATAAAAAAAATTACTACTTAACAATGTTCTATTTTCATCATTAAAATAATGCAAAATTGCATTGTTGCAATGAACAGTGTCCTAGTTATATACAGTTTATGTTATATTCATATAACGTTGAGCATTATTTTGTGCAAAGAAAAAACCAGCTTATAAAGCAGTATTCTATAACGCAGTTTCACCCCCCAAAATGCAACTTTGAAGTTCTATAAAATAGCATGATGTAATTTTTCTTTACAAGTTACATCCTAATCTTTCATTTTGAAATAAGAGATGAAATGTTTGCTATATGCACTAAAGTATAGTTTAGCTATATTATACTTTAACGGTTATTTTGCGAAAATATAGTTTAATGATAATTCTGTTCATTATTAAATAGTCAGTTATGAACATTCATTAAAATTTATAGAAATTGAAGCAACTGTAATATGGAATACGTCAACAACTGTCATTGTTTATATGAGAACGTTGCCGATCTCTAATTTTTTTATTCTAGGAAAGTGCTTAAATGAAACAAGAATCTCCTGAGAATATCACTTTTTTACCGATAAACCTGTTTTCATGACATTTACTAAAAATTAGATAAAATCCTGAACAGTATAGGCCTAAATAAAGTATTTTTCCCAATATTTACTGAAAATTATAGATAAATCCTTAACAGTCTAGACCCAACTGGAGCGCTCATAGTGTGTTCAGATCTGGGGAAATTAATAAATTGCATAAATTTGGCTACGTCGCATGACAATTTAGATAAAACCATACATTTTGTACTTTATGTAAATTGAAAGAAACTGAAGTTTTCCTGTGCTTTACTTTCCATATAAAAATATTCCCGCTCTACACATTATAGCTAATAATCCCATTTTACGGTAAGACGTAACTTATAATTGATAAGTTAAAAGCATTACCGTACCAGAAAAACCGATAAATATCAGCAAGCAAAACATCGGAGCCAAAAACTATAGTTCGTCCATATTGATACTACCGACAATTTGAATTACCTATCTCTAACCAGAACTGTATATTTTCAAGTTCCAGAACATATCGTTCATTTTATATACCAGAAATTACAAAAGATTAACTCAATAATTACAGTAAAGAGCTATAATGTCAAGTTGAAATTCCTCTTGAGTTTCAAAAACGCGAAACTGGCAGAATTTTATCTGAGAAAGCATATCGAAGAACTAACCCCCATATTTTCAAAAGACTGATATTGCAAAAATATAATGTGCAAATTCCTATGAAATGATGCATCTATCCTCCACGAAGATACGTACCCTAACGGACGTCATTGGAAATTAATTTTTCTCAAATATCTTTAGGCCATGTAATTCATGGATATTTGTGTAAATACAAGTAGTGTAACGAATTAGGATTATCCTGATGGTGTTTATAGCAAAACATTGTTTTGTCATCTAGCCAATAAATAGCAAGCTCTAGCTAGAGCGGCAAGATGTCCTTTGCGATCGGTCATTAATCCTTTACATGCGCGAGCATGCTACGAATAATAATGCTAATGCATAATATCTGATTCTGTCGAAATTTTTCGCGATTACAATACAGCCTCGCCCAGTGGCCTAAGAAATAAAAAGATGTAATTCTTCACTCACTCCACTATTTACACGTTGTGTTGTTTCAGGTTGTTACGTTATCACCCCCTGAAGGCTACAAGGATATGGAATTAGACGAACGAGCACTTGCAGAATACAGACAACAGCAGAAGTTGGTCGCAAGGAACAAGGCGCTGCTGTTACAACAGCAACAGAACATGGCTAAACAGGCGCCGGTGTGCAGAGAGTGCAGTGCTAGCGGAGATCATGAGGGTGATAGGGGTAAGTTAGTTACAATAATAATACAGCCCATGAACTCTTAGAGCAGTGATAATTTAGTTAAAATGCAGATAACAGATCCCCTCAAGTAAGTTGTCTCTTGTCAGTTCATAAAGGATTATGATCGTCACACAGTAACTTCTATACAAATAGATTAAGTGAGCCAAACATTTTAAAGGGTGTCCCAAAATTAACGCAAGATTTGAATTTGCCGCCATTTGTGCAGTGAAGTGTTGGCAACCCTGAAAAAAAGCAATTTGACAGCTAACAGTATAGGGTTATGAAAAATGGAGCGTTACACGATAGAACAACGTGTCTTCATTATTAAAGAATATTTCAAAAATAGTGAAAGCTTGGCGGCTGCAGTTCGAAAATTTCATACAAAATATGGCCGGAATAGTGTTTTAACTTCGTCAACTGTGAAGAGATTAATTGAAAAATTCATGGAGACTGGATCCGTTGGAGACGCCAAACACACTGGTCGTCCAAAAACAAGCCGTTCAAATGTGAATATCGAAGCAGTGCGTGAGAGTGTTGCGGACAATCCAGGAACCTCAATTCGACGTCGTGGACAAGAATTGCAAATGTCAAGAACCTCTCTACAGCGTATACTCACCAAAGATCTGTGTCTTCATGCTTACAAACTTCAATTAACACAACAATTGAAGCTTAATGACCATGCAGAGAGAAGAGAGTTTGTTGAATGGATTATTGAACATCAACAAATGGACCCTGATTTTTCAAGCAAAATCATCCTAAGCGATGAAGCACATTTTCATCTTGATCGCTTTGTCAATCGCCAAAATTGCCGCATTTGGGGTTCGGAGAACCCACGTGTGATTGTCGAAAAAGAAATGCACCCACAACGCGTGACTGTCTGGTGTGGATTTTGGGCTGGAGGCATAATTGGGCCATATTTTTTTGAAAATGATGCTGGTCAAGCAGTGACTGTTACTGGTGCTCGATATCGCGACATGATTACACAGTTCTTTCTGCCAAAATTGAATGATATTGATGTACCCAATATGTGGTTTCAACAAGACGGTGCCACATGTCATACAGCCCGTGAAACAATTCAATTACTGCATGAGACATTTCCCGGTCGTGTACTCTCTCGTTTCGGTGATCAAAATTGGCCTCCTAGATCGTGTGATTTAACACCATTAGACTTCTTTTTATAGGGTTATTTGAAATCACAAGTCTATGTCAACAAGCCCACAACCACCCGTGCATTAAAGAAGGAGATTCAACGCTGCATCAACGAAATTCAGCCACATTTATGCAGAAGGGTCATGGAAAATTTCGACAAAAGAGTGCGCATGTGCATGCAAAGCCGTGGAGGCCATTTGTCCGATGTGTTATTCCATACATAACCCTATCCTATGTACTTTATGAGTCAATAAAAATATAACTATTAAAAGACTAAAAATGGCATTTTCTATTTAATTCAAATCTTGCGTTAATTTTGGGACACCCTTTATAACGCAATGATCTAGGAATTTCTTGCCTGCCCTACCGAAAGTATCGACCATCTGGCAACGCCAGCAATGTTATGCTGGTCGACACGAGCGATGAAAAGAGGAGCGATTACGCGTCAAGCACAGACAGAATTTTGTGCGTACAGGTATATTTTTAAATTCGTAGGGTACAGGAAGTGCAAACGAGACGCTGCGCATAGTCGAACGAACGTAAATTACGAGGGGTAGCCCAAAAAAACCGAAATAATTTTTTAAGAGCTATTTATTTCCAACATTTTCACAAAGTAACTTTATGTCCTTCCAAATACCATCCACTACAACTAATACCCCGGTGCTTCTACCGCTCGAAGCATTTTTTGAAGTCTTCCTTAAACATGTCTGACAGCTCCTAACTCGTTTTTTCCTTGACCTCTCCAATGTCGTCAAAGCGGCGTCCTTTCATGCCCCTTTTCATCCGTGGAAATAAGAAAAAGTCGCACGGGGCCAGGTCAGGCGAATAAGATGCGTGAGACAGCGGAACCATGCCATTTTTAGCCGTAAACTGTCGAACAGAAATGGCTGTATGCGCCGGTGCGTTATCGTGGTGGAAGAACCAGTATACTGACTTCCACAAATCGGGTCTTCTTTGCCGAACACTGTTTCGCAATCGTCTTAAAACCTCCAAATAGCACAAGCTCTCCAACATTTTCGTCGATTCGGGCAGTTGATGGACGTCCAGAGCGAGGTTTGTCATCAATCGACATATAGTCCATGTTTAAATCGAGCATGCCACTCGTACACCTGAGTTTTTCCCATAGCATCATCTTTGTAAGTTATTTTCAACGTTAAAACAGTTTCAGCAGCATTTTTACCATCTAGAAAGCAAAATTTCACAGCTGCACGTTGCTCACTGAAGCTTGCCATCGTAAAAAAACAAAACAAGCACGAAACAGCTCTAGTAAAAATAATGACTACAGAAAAACGAAACAAGCCAGATCGACAACTCAGGTGGTACTGAACTGGTAATGAGTTGCGCTGTACGCCTCTAGGGGCAGAAATGTGTACTACACAAGCTCCGCCCACTGCAATGCTATTCCGGTTATTTTTGGGTACCTCCTCGTATATTACTAGTTTGTTCAATGGCGAGCGAACCGTATCTAATATGCATATATCCAGAATCGGAGGCATCTACCGGCCACAGTACTGACCCGGCTGTCAAATGCGGATACACTTCCAACTAGGAATTCACTGCTTGACTTTTAAACTAGTTGACTGGACTTGACTTGAAATCAGGTCAAGCTCAAGTCAAATATTAGATATTAGCAATGCGAATGAAAACTCAAGTCGACTTGATATTACTTTTTATAATATAAATACGACTGGATTATACAGGGTGTTCCTTAATGATATGCGAATATTTAAGGGTGTGAATCTACATGAAAAATTAATGTTAGTTTGCTTGATAAACTATGGTCCAAAAATGTTTCCTTACAAAAACTCGGGGTGTTGAAGTTTTAGGAAAAAAATGGAATTTAATTAATATTTTCAGAGCCGCTTCAGATATTTCAGTCATATTTAGTACGTAGTGAAAGTTAATAAAGCTGCATATTTTTCAATGCAAAAATAATTTAAAGCTTTAACAGTGGCGTGCGTACGGGTATTGACTTCGATATCTTTCAAGAAAAAATTAAAACAAATGATCTCTCTTGGATTGTTTTTTTTTTTCGATGCGCCATTTTTGAATAAAAAAATAAAAACCGTTCTATTGTCCGAGAAAATTAATGTAATAATTATTGAAGAATGCAATTTAGCAATAAATATCTAGTTGCTCTGGTATATGTCACAGGCTTTTGACATCTGACAAGTCTCTGTTATTCAAATCTGTTCGTTGTGGCGTATTTCTCATTATTTAGTTTTTACAATCTTGTTAATAATGGTGAATTATTCAAATGCAGAAATGGCGGAAATGCATTACGTATATGGCCTTGCCGACGGTAATGGTGAGCAAGCCAGACGGATTTATCACCAGATATATCCCGATCGTGCTTTGCCAGATAGTCGAACCTTTACTAATATTCATCGTCGTCTTGTTGAAACTGGTTCTGTCCGAAAAGGAACATCTGAAGGTAGACTTCTAAGTG